GAGAGGATGGAGCGGAAGAACTGAGAGGAGGAAAGGGCACGCCAAGTGAAACTTGCTCGTGAGGAGGAGAGGGCAAGAAAGCTTGCAAAGGCTCGCGAGGCGCAAGAGGAGGACTCCGCACGTGACAAGAAGGGGAAATGGCCTCGCTCTACTCAGTAGGGACTTCGCTTCGCTGCACTAGTCATGAAACCGGATGTATCCATGCCGCATTTGTCATGAACTTTCTTCTAGGGCAAGATGCCATTTGTAGTCAACTATGTCGTACTAGGCAAATTTGTCATTTCTAATGAATGTGCCGTGAACTATGTTGTAGTAATGTTTGAATTGTTTTAAGTGATGAACTCATCAGCATAAAATTTTGTGTTTGTTCAAATTGCTGTGATGCTCAAGTTATTGTAAGTGTTGGGATGTTCCAGTGAATTGCCATTTGTAGTCAACCTTGTGTTAGCAGTAAATAGCTGTGCAGCGCCCAAGATAGAGGCGTCACACAGTAGAGTGCAGCGCCTGGCACTAGGGCACTGCACAGTGACTTAGCAATTTTTGTGCATGGCCAGTGCTGCATAGCTTCTGTATGCACAGCCAGATGTGTAGCGCCTAGGGTACAGGCGCTGCACAGTGCAGCGCCTGGGTATTGGGCGCTGCATTGTATAATGTAGCGCCTGCCTGTTGGGCGCTGCAGTGCTGTTAACTGCTAAAATGCAGTAACTTGATGCATTTTTTCAGCAAACTAAACGTAACTAAGATATAATATGAATGTAGTGCTGTAAACTGCAGAAACTCAACAAAGATAACTAATAACTTGGACATCACACAGTTTAGGACAATTCAACATTACTACAAGTTCGCAAACACAATGACCACACTAATAAGAGTTCACCAACATATGACATAACCTCACAAGTTCATCAACCTAATGTAACAGCTACAAGATCACTAATGCTTTCCGCGCGTGTTCCTGGTGCCACACCTGCAGGCAATCTTCTTCTTCCTATTAGGACGAGCCTCCTCTTCCGCCACTTCCTCCTCAGCCTCATCATCCAAGCTAGCCATCCGCGGGGTCCCTACGACCACCTTTGGGTTGCCTCTGTTGTCAAAGTCGGTGGGCGTGTACCGGTGTATGGATTGCCTAGGCTTCAACATATAATGACCGGAACAGCAGGGACTCCTTGCCCTTCCCTGATACCTTTGTTGTACCGCCGCTTCGATACATCCTCAAAGTTTATGAGCTCTTCAAGAATATCATCGTTGTATGCCGGCCAGCATATCTCAACTCGAGTATTTTTAAGAAACCATCGTAGGTAGTTATCGAAAGCAAGTGAGCTATGCTCATGAAGCTGGGCGTGTGCACTGTTACGAGCTTGCTCCACACTAAGATGGAAATGGGTAACATACTCTACATCATGCTTGTCCCAGTCCTTTATCTTCCGCTGCTTTCTCCTGTCCAACCTACATGGTACAAAACCAAACATTATCACAATCAAAAGGAGTGCTGATGCTTAGTCAATACGGTTCAAGCTCTCTTACCTATGAAGTGCTTTGTCCGTGTCCACCCAATCCGGCGGGTGAAGCTGGAACAGACCAAACTGACGATACACGTGATGTGGCAAATGAAACTCAACTGCCCAGTTGCATATCAGTGGGCACCGCATAAGCCAGAGATCCTTATCCCGCAAGCACATCGGGTTGAGGCGGAACTCCTCGGTGTACCCAAAGCTCTCACCCGCGCCATATGGCTGCCATACCACCTATGAAATAGGGCAACAATGCATAAATTGATGACTATTTTTCAAGCAAGCATGAGAAATGACTGAAGTAATGACCTCCTTACTTGCTCAGGCGTAATCATGTCCAACTCGGCAATGTACTTTTTGTACATGAGACTGACATCGTTTGTCATCTTGGATACCACATCCCACTTGTAAGCCCAAGTGGGGCGCCGTAATTCACCTTCTTCATCCCAAGATTTAAACGTGACGCTCTTCGGGCGTCCAACAGGCAGACGCTCACAGCTCCATACAGAAAGCAGAAGCATATTACCACTAATGCATGCCTTATCTGTTATCCTGCAACACGCATCATCCAGCTGCATATGAAAGAAAACAATGTTAACTTGACAGCAAGGTTGCATTGCTAATGAAGAAATGACTTGATACCAAAACAAACCAAGTACCTGTCGGTACAAGTAAGCAAGAGTGGCTGAACCCAGCTCCATCCTCTATCGAAGACGGTCAACGCCTTCAGCCACATCCATGGAGCGTTCTTGCCTGTCGAGTCAGGAAACAAAATCCTCGAGACAACGTACCACATATAGACACGAGCATGTGTCTGTATCACATCATCAGTGGCATCCGTAGGGCAATGCACAAAGTTTGCTTGAATCCACGTGAAAGCAGCTCCAGCTGCTTTCCTTCCCTTCTTCTTCTGCTCTTCTCCCTCCTCTACATCAGCCTCAGCCTCGACAGGAGCCATACCGATAAGAGCAATAATCTGCTCGCGCCACCCATCAGAATCGGTGCTCATACATAGAGGCCTCCCGTCGATAGGAAGCCCGATGATCAAGGCGACATCCTCGAGCGTCACGGTCATCTCCCCAGTCCAAAGATGGAAACTGTGTGTCTCCGGCCTCCACCGATCAGCAAGAGAGGTCACCAGTCGAACGTTGAGGTTCGGCGTGGACCGGCTGACCAACTGAATACACGGGAGGAGTCCTGCCTGCTGGATGTAGGGTGTGTACCACTCATCGTAGGGCATGGCAGGGCCGGAGACCCCGTGATACCGAATCTTCAGAGTTTCAAGCTTCTGTAAAAAACAAGTAATGACAAATCTTAGGGCATGCCAATTTCAACTAAAGGCTTGTAATGACAAATCTTAGGGCATGCCAATTTCAACTAAAGGCAAATTTGTAAAATATTTAGAGTACTCATTATTACCATCTCCTTCTCGCGCATCATGTAGGCCCGGTGTTGTGTGTCGTAGACATTATCGAGAAGCCAAACCATCCTTGCAAAGTTCAAACAATAAACATATATGAGTTCATTTTCATCTCAAATATCGGTATACACTAAATATCTCATATGTGTTCAACTACAACAATCTCAACATGTTCTTCTCGCACAATGAATAAATGATTGTAAATTCTCATATATATCTCAAAAAAACTCAACATCTCATATTTCAAATAAACTCAACATCTAATATATATCTAAAATAACTAAACATCACATATATGTCTACAAAACTAAACATCTAATATATATCTACAAAAAACTAAACATCACATATATGTCTACAAAAATAGGCATCTCATATATATCTAAAAAAACTAAACAATCTAGGGTTTCACTAGAAGAATCATATATTGTGAACCAATGAACAACGCTACGGTAGTATCACTATTACTACACATCCTAAATCAAGCAAATCAAGGGTTTCACCAAATCTTGGACAAATCTCTTAAATGGAAACATATTTACGAAGGAAAAGAAAGGGAACAGAGGAGTTTACCTAGTAGGAGGGATTGGAGATCGAATCCACGGAAGAAATCTTCAGATCTGAGAGGGATGTGGGGGGGGATCCGATGGGGCGCCGCCGCCGCCGCTCTCTATACAGAGAGCAACTTCCTGGAGAGGGGATGACCTGCCTGGGAGGGCTAGCCCGATGCGGCTTAAGTCAATGTGCAGCGCCTAAGCCGATGGGGCGCCGCCGCCGCTGCTCTCTATCCAGAGAGCAATTTCCTGGAGAGGGGAAGACCTGCCTGGGAGGGCTAGCCCGATGCGGCTTAAGTCAATGTGCAGCGCCTAAGCGCTAGGCGCTACACATTACACTATGTGGCACCTAACGCTTAGGCGCTCCACAGCTGGCTGTGGGGCCGCACCTGGCCCCGGGCTGCCACGCTGGCCGGAAGTGCGACGCCTTAGACAAAGGCGCTGCATAGTGCAGTGCAGCGCCCAACTGTAGGGCGCCACCCAAAACGGTTTGTTATGTGAAAAAATTTCGAGACCAGGTTAGATCGTGATTTGATTTCGCCCTCAGGTCAAATATGTGATTTGTGCCTCCCACCTCAATGCCTGCACATTTCACCTAGTCCTCCAACCACCTACCAAGCACCAAGGCTCCAGCATCCTGGCACGCCGCAGGCACAACCGCCACCGTCACCGCATTGGGTGCAGCCGCACGCTCAGGAACCATTGCACGGAACATCTGCGCCACATCACGGTCATACCCGCCCGCTCATACTACACTTTTATCACGGAATTCCAAGAGACAACGTCTTGTTAGGGAATTCTGTCGAACACCTTGCGATCGGGCATGGGGACAGCCGAGGTTGGAGTACATGGCGATGAGGGAATGGTCGGTGTTGTCGCGTGCGCAGAGACGGCGAAGGTGGGCACGACGCGGGGCACCGGGCTGCGGTGAGGAGTAGGAAAGGGAGAGAGCGTAGGCATCGGGGCGGAGCGCGGAGCAGACCATTAGGAGGGAGAGGTGGAGGTGGCGAAGAAGCGCAGGGCGGCGACATTGAAGGAGAAGGCAGTTGGAAGTGGCGTAGTCGGAGGTGGAGATGGCGCAGGAAAACGACGGCGCAGTCGTGGAGGAAGCCGTGGGCATAGCCGATAACATTCGTTCCTTTGGTATTCCTCCGCTTCAGCTTAGAGCATCTCCAACAGGTGCCCAAAAACTGGGCCGCGCGCTAAAATTTGGGTTTTTTGGCGCCGGGCAGCTCCAGCAGAAGCTGTAAAACAGTGCGCATTGAAAAATATTATTGTGTGCACTTCACAATTTACATTGCGTGTCCTTTTGGGTACGCGTTTTTGGCATCTGCTCAAGCAATGTTGGGTCCGGCGTACTAAAAATGCTACGGTGGCGTGCTAAAACTATTTTAGGGTGCGAAATTTTTGTGCACATGTTGGAGACGCTCTTACGAGCTGAGGTAGACACTTTTAACAACACAGTTCTTAGCCCCTCGCAAAAAAAAAAAAAACAGCTCTTAGCGGGCCAACGCGATGACAACACCGCCGCCGCCGTCGCCGCCACCAGCGTTCGTGTACCGGATCAGCACGGGGGATGAGTGGGCGGAGCTTCAGCGCACCGGCGGCACGCTCGGTGGCGGCCTCGACCGCTCCACCGGCTGCTTCCACCTCAGCAACCTCGGTCAGGTACCGCCCTCCCTCTAGATCTCTCGGCATGTCAGATTCTAGCATAGATTCTGTCTGATTTGCCAGTAGATTTCTACCTGTATTGCTTGATTTGGACTTGAGGCATGGCCATGGATTTTGTTGCTCTGATTATGCCCAATAATCAATACTAGATGGCTGTTCTGACTGAATCTTTCAGTTTATTTAGGCTAGTACTGCTGAGTAAGTTGTACTTTATACTAGCAAGCCATTGAAGAATGATTCATGGAACGAGATGTAGATCAATTCTATTGAAAAGAACACTCATATCACAACATATTATACCAAACGAAAATAAATTCAGCAAATTTCTTCTATTGAGAAATTAAAATTGAAAATGATGCGTTCTTAGGCTGTGTTTTCGTGAAAAGGGACAGACAAGTTTATGCGCATACTCTGCAATATGCTCTTACTACACTAGTTTTAAGACGTTTTTACTTATTCACATGATACATGATATTCCCATTCACTTTCTTGAACTGTCACACATGTTCAGTTGTTATAATATCTGTTTCTTGAGCACTGACTTCTACTGTACCATCTTCCATTGTATCAGTGTTATGCCTGTTTCAGGAGACTGTATATCAAATTTTGATTGTGCATATCATCCCTGTTATTTCGTTGGTATGACTTGATCTGGAGTCTTTTCTTTTTTCAGAAGATATGAATCATATGCATTCATCCTTCCTTGACTTGGTGTAGGTGAAGATGACGCTAAAGAATTATTTCCGTGTGCAAAATGATCTATACCTGCTACAAGTTGACACTGCTAAGGTATTGATTTTTAAACATCCATTTTATTCTTCTCGTGTCAGCTTATTATAGCTATTGAGGAAATTCCCAATTTTTTGCATGTCTAATTATCTATATTTAAATCTATATTTACTATGTTTTAGTGTACTTATTATCTATTCGGATTACATGTACAATTTACTATTCTTGTGTATCGTAGATTGCAGATGGCTTGATTTATGAGGCAGCTAATGGTTGTAACTACTTTCCTCATTTCTATGGCCCTGATCGGAGCTTTGCACCCCTTCAACTAAGTGTTGTTATCAAGGCAGACAAAATAGAGCTGGCGAACAATGATTTTACTTGCAGTCTACTTGATGGAGCAGCCATCTAATTCTGATGTGTAACTGTTAGGTCTCACTCTTGGCCCTTGTTTACATGTTCTCTGCCAAATTTATCAAAGGCAGGCTGTCCACATGCTTATGCTAGTAATAGAAAGTAGACAAATTTAATATCAACCTGAGGGACATGAAAGGTTAGTTATGTAAGAAAATGGTGAACATAGGCAGAACAGAGCACTAGATGCACGATTGAACAAGGCAGGGCACAGATCAAATAAGAAAATTAAATTTCTATCCAATACTCGTACCTTGTGTTTCCGTTGCCATCTAATTAGGTGTCTTCTAACTCTCTAGGCCACATGTAGATATGCCCTGTGTTGCTCTTGGACTTGAAGCCCTGGTATCCACAGGGCGGAGATGTCCTGCATCCAGCCAGAGCTGCTGCAAACGCAACCCCTCACCATACTTCAAGTTTAAGTTTAAGTTTGGAGAACCGGATACACGGAGCTCTCTTAGTTTAAGAAGGTTGAGACCCTCTCGGGGATGTCACATCCAGCGACTACAAGCACCGTACCTGAGAGAGGAATGGGAGGCCCTCCAATACGCTCAAGCACCTTGCTCCTCTTAAATGGAGCGATTTCAAGCTAGTTGCCTCATGTCCAAGCTGTCATGGGAGAGCTCTTAGCTCCGGGCAGCCTTTGAGTACCAAGCATTTCAATCTTGGGAGCATCTGGATCCTTGGGGACAGGGCTTCCCCTTTTCGCATTTTAGCAGATCCATTGTATCCCCTTCCGTAGTTGTTGTTTATGCTGACGATTGAAGTGTGAGCTCCTTGAAGTCGTCCGCTGCAAGTCGTCGGTGTCTAGCTGCCATTCAAAGCATGACTTTTGTTGGATTTCCATCGCCGAACAATGGGGTCAATCGAAATTATTTGGTGGCTAATTGGACCAATCTAGTGGATGGATCTGGAAAACTCAAAACCTAGAAGCCCTTGGAGTTTGATCTAGAACCGATCTAATCTTTGATCGATCAGATGTCGTGCCCCGAGGAGAGAGATTAATCTCCCCTAGGGCGGCGCTAGTAGGAGCTAGGATCCTACCGGGTCTAGGGCGTAGGTTGTACTGGAAGGGGGAGGGTTGACGGAGATGCGATCGCGGCTGCCGGCGGCGGGGCGCCGTGGCGCGATGACGAAGAGGCGACGGCGGCGCAAGAGGCGGCTAGGGTTAGGTCTCCCGGCTCCCTTCGGGAAGCCGTGCAAATAATGATTGCTTCTTGCTTGATTAGATTGATACATCTCCTCTCCTTATATATATAAGAGAGGTTTACTTGACTTCTAAGCAAACGATCCTAATAACAATAAGATAATTGGGCTAAGCCCCTAATAATGATAAGATAACTTGGGCCACAACCCACTGGGCTAAACCCCTAATATGCCGGTCATAACACTTCTCCCCGCCTGCACAAACAGCTCGTTCTCGAGCTGTAAGGTGGGGAAGCGCTTGCTGAACTCCTATAGGTGATCAACCAGCGTCAAACACCTTCGCGACAGCTGGGGCGGACAGGTCGGCGGCGACTGCGTCCTCCGGAATGTAGTCTGCAACCTCTAGGTAGAAGAGTCGCGCGCAGACGTGGCCGGGCGTGTAGGGCTCGTCGCAGTTGAAGCACAACCCTTGGCGGCGACGCTCGAGCAGCTCGGCCGATGTGAGCCGGCGGAACGGGCGCGCCGCGGTCGCGGCGAGGGGTGCCGCGGAAGCCTGAGCAAGCCGACCCTTCGCGGGAACATCCGGCTAGGGTAGCGACCCAGCGGCCCGGGATGGTGATTTCTTCTGGATGGCCACCGCGCGGCGCTCGAACGCGCGGGCGTAGTACATGGCCGTCTGGAGATCCTGGGGTCCCCGGAGCTCCACGTCCATGCGGATGTGATCCGTAAGTCCACCGACGAAGAGATCGGCCCGCTGCTGCGCCGTCACGCCCGACGCGTGGCATGCCAGGGCCTGGAAATGGTCGGCGAAGTCCTGAACCATGGAAGTGAAGGGAAGGCGGCCTAGCTCTGTCAGGCGGCTCCCGCGGATCGGTGGCCGAAAACGAAGGAGACAGAGCTCGCGAAAGCGCTCCCAAGGGGGCATGCTGCCCTCGTCCTGCTCGAGGGCGTAGTACCAGGTCTGTGTCGCGCCGCAGAGGTGGTCAGAGGCGAGCCAGGTACGCTCTGAGGCGAGGGTGCGCTGCCTGCGAACTGCTCGCACTGGTTGAGCCAGTTGAGAGGGTCCTCTGTGCCGTCATAAGTGGCGAAGTCCAGTTTGGAAAACCGCGGCGGTGTCTGAGTCGGAGCGTCGTGGCCGACTGGCTTGGAGGTGCGAAGCGGCGAGGATTGGGGCGCCCGGTCAGCATGGCCGCGACCGTGGGGTGCCCCGCCGAGCCGGAGGGGTCGCCGAACTGCAGAGTGGGTGTCGGCGGGTCTCCAGCTGACGTGTAGACGGGTGGCAGCGATGATCCGGTCAGCCAGGCCGGTATTGGGGACAGTGACGGCGGAAAGCGCACTTGCTGGATCGGTACGCCTCCCTGCGTGGATGACCCGGGCCCCGTGCTGGGCGGGGGCAGGGCCGGCAGCTGCGGCGGTACGGACCCGGGTGGCATGGGGGCGCAGCGAGGGCCGGGGACGGCCACTGTGGCCATTGAGGCGCGGCAGCGGGCGGCGATGGGGCCGGCAGCTGGGCCTACGGATGCCCGAACCCGGGAGGCATTGGGGTTGCAGCGAGGGCCAAGGTCGGCCATTGTGGCCATTGAGGTGCGGCAGCGGGCGGTGGTGGGGCCGGCAACTAGGGCTGCGGCTGCCTGGACCCGGGAGGCGTCGGAGGCGCGGGGATCACCGGAGCCAACCACTGCGGCCAGTGGGGGGCGACGGCGGGCGGCGGCTGACCGGGCCATTGGTGGTGTAGAGGCCCGATCGGCGCCGTGGTGGCCGCGTACCAGGGCAGGGCGTCTGGCCCGGTCCCGGCGGCCGGCTGGAAGGGCGGCGGCTGCCCGTAGGGCCCGGCCAGGTAGAGGCGTATGCCCTGTACGGCGGTGACGAGGTCGTTGAGGACCCCGGTCATCTTCGCCGGCGAGTAGATGGCGACGGGCGGCGCGGTGGAGGGCGGCGGCGTCTAGCCGGTGGAGGCGCCGGCGGTGGAGTCCAGCGGCGCGGTGGGGAGAGGCAGCGGCGCGGTGGAGAGAGGCAGCGGCGCGGTGGTGACAGGCAGCGGGGGGTTGGGTGGTGGTGCAGACATGATCGGAACTGAGCTACCTGGTACCAAATTGGTAGGAGCTAGGATCCTACCGGGTCTAGGGCGTAGGTTGTACGGGAAGGGGGAGGGTTGACGGAGATGCGATCGCGGCTGCCGGTGGCGGGGCGCCGTGGCGGGATGACGAAGAGGCGATGGCAGCGCAAAATGCGGCTAGGGTTAGGTCTCCCGGCTCCCTTTGGGAAGCGGAGCAAATAATGATTGCTTCTTGCTTGATTAGATTGATACATCTCCTCTCCTTATATACATAAGAGAGGTTTACTTGACTCCTAAGCAAACGATCCTAATAACGATAAGATAATTGGGCTAAGCCCCTAATAATGATAAGATAAATTGGGCCACAACCCACCGGGCTAAACCCCTAATATGCCGGTCATAATAGGCGCACTGCGGAAGTGGTGGAGAAACCTAGAATCAACCTCGTTGGACTAACCGCTCTAATACCACGTGGAATTATAGGACGACTAAACATTTCTTTTGAATTGTATTGTATTGATCAGACCCTTGTAGGGGTATATATAGAGTACAGTGTGGGGAGAGTATAGGAGTACAAGGCAAGTCATTGTTAGTTTGAACCAAATATATCTCTATATATCCTTATCTCTAACTAACACGTTTATACTTCTAACACGAGACACATCACACGCCCCCTTCAGATCCTGGAGGGCACCTACGACGCTGGCTAGCAGTCCGCAGAGGCGATTCCCGGGCGTGGAGGCGACAAACGCGGCTAGGATGTCAGGGCGGCTACGGGGTGGCGATCTTGGTGTTCTTCGCCGGTTCCAGTGCCGTCGACTATGTAGGAGTTGAGGTGGATCTTCCTACGCTATCTCCAAGGTCAGCTGGCTCGATTCCGGGCAAAAATGGACCTCCGCGGCCAGTAGGTGGAGCTACAGGACGACGGGCTCGTCGGCGGTGAAAAGGCCGATTTTGGCACCGGCGAGCGAGGAGAAGGCGGGAGAGGGCGGCCGGGCTGCGGGATGGACGCGTGGAACAGTTCCAGTGCAGGGGTCTGGATGGGGGCTACGGCAGCGGCGGCGCTGACGCGCCGAGAGGAAGAATGCATGGGTGGCCGACTATACTGAGAAGCTGCGGCTTTTGAGGGGATGAAATGCTTTTTTAGGGATTATTGGTTTGAGGGATCTGCCAGCTAGGCTTTAATCCCTCAAAACAATAATAATTTTTAGGGCATCTGCTAGAGATGCTCTTATAAGCCAAACTCTAAAAAACAAAGTTCAGCCTAGAGAATCTGGAAATGCCATATTCAGATCGAAATTCCAAGTAGGCCTCGTTTGTTTCCACATGCACAAATTTATTTCTTGCAATAACAGGAACATAAATAGGACATAAGCGGATTATTCCTAAATAACATCCTGGAAGACGACCTTTGCGATGTGGCCATCAACTGTTTCAGGTGAGCAATGAGCCGAGTAGTAGAAGCTTTTCACCACGTGGAGAAATGTCTGCCTGGTGTCTCTGTTGATGCCATGGCAACCTTGATGAATTCTCCAAGATAGTTCTTGCATCTCCATGTCCACTTGCCGGTCCAAGTCGTCTGTGTTCTCCATAATTTCCCCATTCTGTTTATTTAATCATTGAACAATATTTGGTTATGGCTTGACAGATCACATACAACTCAAATCGGACACATCTGTATTCTGGACACACAAATGCATGTATATACGCACCTGAGCAACAACTCTTGTGGCAAGCTTGCGGCAGATGGAAGAGGTGAGCTGTTCGAGCTGGCAATACTCCCAAAGGTTCAGTTT